TAAATTTACCAGTTTGAAAAAAAAATATTTGTTGCAATAACATACACATGCTTTAAAAACTAGTTTTACTCTTCTATTTCTTTTATACTAAATGATTTTTTTAAAGGAAGAAAAATAGGAAACCTGTCTTTATACTCTGGAAATATTGCTTGAGTTTGGATTTCATGCCTGGCGTTATCCTATTGCTCTATTGTCTGGTAACTGCCAGTGAGCTCGTGCCATCTGGTAAAATGCACAGACAAGGGGAGCAAACTGCGTATGTTGTAACCACGGCGGCTTGCATCAAAGACATGCCAACAGCCCAGCGTCTATTATGTACCGGGCTGGCTGGCGGGGGAAGTGATTCAAGTTTTCAGTCTGCATTGTTGCGCTGTTTTGATAATGTCTTAGAGGGTCAGGAAGGGAGAACAGGGGTCTTTGCCTGCTTTTGTTTATTGTTTGTTTGTTTATTTATGTTGTTTTTTAGAGGCACTTGGGACCATCTAGTTTAAAAGGGATTTCTAAAAATGTTTGAATATTGTGCCTTATTTCTCTGGTGAATGAATGGCTATCAGTTAGGTCTTTTAAATTTGCCAAAAATATTTCTGAAGTCAGTTTTGTTTGTCTAGCTGAAACATAAGATAGAGCAATTGTTTTCTTTTTATGACTAACGTAATTCTAAATTTACCAGTTTGAAAAGAAAATGTTTGTTGCAATAACATACACATAATTTAAAAACTAGTTTTACTCTTCTGTTTCTTTTATTCTAAATGATTATTTTAAAGGAAGAAAAAATAAGAAACCTGTCTTTATACTCTGGAAATATTGCTTGAGTTTGGATTTCATGCCTGACGTTTTCTTATTGTCCTATTGTCTGGTAACTGCTAGTGAGCTTGTGCCATCTGGTGAAATGCTCAGACAGGGGGAGCAAACTGCGTATGATGTAACCACGGCGGCTTGCATCAAAGACATGCCAACAGCTCAGCGTCTATTATGTACCGGGCTGGCTGGCGGGGGAAGTGATTCAAGTTTTCAGTCTGTGGTTACGGCATTGTTGCGCTGTTTTGATAATGTCTTAGAGGGTCAGGAAGGGAGAACCGGGGTCTTGGCCTGCTTTTGTTTATTGTTTGTTTGTTTTGTTGTTTGTTTTTAGAGACCCTTGAGGCCTCTTAGTTTAAAAGGGATTTCTAAAGATATTAGAATGTGTTTCGTTTAGTGGGAGAATGAAAGGCAACGAGTGGTGTCTCAAACTTGCAAAGAATATTTCTGAAGTTTGTATTGTTTGTCTGACTTAAACAAAAGCAAACATTTTGTTTTTAAAAAAAGCCTTTAAATCTACTGGTCTGAAGAAAATTTTGTTTTGTGCCATACCATATAAATATTTCGGAACTAGTTTTGTTTACCTCTATCTATTATTTTTAGTTCGTCTCTACCGTAACGGTTAGATGCTACGTCACCGCAGGCAGAAATATCGAGGTCGATTTCCGTGTGGTGATAATTTTTATAGAGTAAGCGTCTCGGTCTTTTTGTT